GGACTGCAGTGTCTTGCAGAGACAAGGACAACCCTAACAGCTATGGCTATGGTTCACATGCAGGTTGGCAAGATGACACTATACCACCTGGTACATGTGTCTCTGGTTGACTCATTCCCATTTTTGATCGGCCAGGATTTTATAAATCGCTTTGACGCGATTATAGATTATGGTGAACAGACAATGTGGGCCAGAGTGAGCAAACCCTTTCAATACTCATGCCTCCTGAGACAGTCACAGACTGCCCAACAGCAGGCACCGCAGAAGGCACCGAGGACTTCTCAGCAGAGAACACAGTCCCGGTAAGTAAGCCTTCAAAAGCATGTGAAACCGAAGAGACCCAACCGGTGGACCCAACTCTGACTGAACAAGAAAGCCTCCTCTGCGAGCTGAGACATTCAGAGCCCACCGGATACTACCTACCATTGGTAGTTAAAGGTGTAGAGATCCAAGGATCCCACACCACTGTACTGTCGCTGAGGACAGATAAATCAGCTAAGGACGGAGCCGTGGACGGCCCTCAGTGGTCCTCTGACCCCTTCGGGCTGCTCGCAACTCTGTCAGTACAACCTACAGCCAAGGTAATGGCAGTCACACGTGCACAAGCTACAGCCAAGCCGGCTGATGACACAGTCTCTGTACAACCCGTGCTGACTGACCCAGACATCATCCAACTTCTGAAGTCGGATCCTGCGATAAACTCGATGATGCTGTACTTGACTGACCCAGAAAAAAACACTTTGTCCGAAGCCGACCTGGATTCCAATCCGGACCTTTAAAGCCCTCTTTCATCTGCGCAAACAGCTAAAACTACTCAAGGGCATCCTAACTTTTGCTCATGGACCGACGTCCTCACCCATGTTCGTGGACCCCCATGACCACAAGGGGGTGATGTTAGTTAGGGTGATGTTATCAGACGCGATAACGTGATCAAATCTGACAGTCAGAGTGAGTGACGCACTGAATTGTCGTTTTCTAGTTGCTTAATCACTACTTTTGCCGATGTTGAGACATTGTTTAATTGGTTTTTGGTATTGTTTCTGAACACCCCCAGAAAGAATGAATTTTGTGTGTACTTTAGTTAGAGACTAAGAGGACTTTAACTATGCCAACATGCAGTTCATTGGTTAAACTTCAACCTTTGAGGAGTCAATGTTGATTAATGCTACCTTA